AAAGATGTGCTTGGCTTTACCCAGGAAAGACCGATAAAATGTGATAAAACGAAAGTTAGCTATGATGTGAATGGTGATAAAATTGGATCTTATTGAAATGACATGGTTTAGTTGAATGATCTCTGCCACAAGAAAGGATGAAGTCCAAAGTTGTGTAGGTGCTGGGAGAGGCCATATGCTGTACTGGAAAGAATAAATGATGTATACAGACTTCAGAAAGAAGTTATGATAATCTTTGGAAGTACATCTGTGAGAGAATGACCAACTGGGTAACTCTAGAGAAGAATCTGTCAGCAGAAACTAAGCCTGCTTAAGACCATGGAATCCTTGTCGAGAATACTTCCAGAGGATGATTAAGGATGAAGGCGCCAGTGGATTCACTTGACCATCTATCGAGGAACAACTCCTCAAACAACAGTAAGGCTTGTGACAAGAAGGAGTAAGAGGCCATCCCGGCTTTATACCTAAAAACACCAAAAAAAGAACTGGTGAATGGACACTGGACAGTTTAAAGTAGTGATTTATTTTTGCATTGGAACTGCTCAAGGGACGTGACAATCCAGAAAGGGAGCAGTGTTGTAAGCTATATTATTAATGTTATAATTTGTTTATTAGCTAGAGGGGACTGTTGATCGTAATGTTGACAGTAAGATTAAAAAGTTTAATAAGATATGCTTAGAAAGTTCTAAAGATTTGACATGAAGTTTTCTTGTAAATCCGAAGTTTGATTATGAAAATGAGATTCGAAAAAGACAAAGTTGTTTTAAGTCAGTAGAGTCAATCAGTGTGTATTTAGCAAAGTATTTGAATCCATCGCATATATTCAATTACTTCTTACAAGGAAGTTTTTTAAGTTAGTTTATACAGTTAGTGTGGCTGTAAACGTGGCACACAACTTACCTGTATTCAAACTTGTATGAAAAAACTTTAAGGAAGAAATAAAATAAACTTTTTTGTTGTTGTTTACCTGGACTGGACTTGAGTTATTTTTCACCAGATAATTTAAAAAGAACTATCAATGGAATAACATTACCTAGGATCAACAACAGAAAAGAGTTATTTATTTCTAAGCATTTGTTTAGTGTTCAACTTCTGCTTCAAAAATGTTTTCCTGATATTCTAAAAGCTCTGTAAAACAGTGATTTAACCAGATTTTCTTTAACAACTGAATGAGTGAAACTTTCAAAATGTGACCAAAGTCCAGTGAAGGTGGCTTTATGATTCACTTTAATAGTAAGTATATCCTAGTTGTTTAAAGCATGAACATTTAAGAATGAGAGTTTGTCATTCTGGTGATTTTAAACATTAAACTTTATGTTGGGATGTTTACCATTTAAAAACTTAAATTCGTTAACATACTCAACATTGTTAAACACCATAGAAGTATCATCAACATACCTCCTGTAATCAGTATTCCCAAGTCTGCTTTTAAATAAGTAGAAAACGGCTTGTTTTTCTTAAAGGCGCTTAAAATTTTGGAGAGTTGGGACTTTTTGGACTTGTCTTATTCTGGGGTCATTTATTTGTTTTATATATATAGTAACTGACTTCAGCACACAATTAAATGGTTGCTCGAATGGTTTTGGTGATTGACTGGGTTAATGAATAGCCTACACATTGTTACCATTTTTGAATCATCCTATCCCCACTCCTATTAAATTAAAAAAAAAAAACAACCCGTAATCGTGAACTTTCTGGCTCACCCACTTGACACATTCTATTTTCCAGTTAAGTCGCGCAACTCGTGATTTTGAGGGTAAGCCCTAAAAGAGCAGTTTTGAAGGCAGCAGTTCCACTTCTTTTGAACGACAGTGCCGCTGCTTCTTCTCGAGGCCCGGCATGGCCAGGTGGTTAGGACGCTCGACTCGCAATCTGCGGGTCGCGGGTTCGCATCCCCATCCCACCAAACATGCTCGCCCTTTCAGCCGTGGGGGCGTTATAATGTGACGGTCAATCCC